AATTTCACTTTTCAACGCTTAGAGATTGCAGGCATGCCACTATCATTTTAAATAAGTTTTATTTATCATCCATATCTAAATAGTAAAGTAAAATTATTTTTAAAACTTTTCTGTTTTTGTTTATGTTGCGAGAAATTTTCCCTTACCTGCCTACCTAGAAGTTTTAATTAATTTGATGTAATTTTTACAAAGTAATTTTGTTTTTGAGATTTACCTAAATTATTAAAAAATCTTTTATAATGTATTTATAACTGTCTTCCATAATTTTTAGATTTTATGTTTTATCTTGTTTAAAAAATCTAAAAAGGTTTTATATTTCATTGCAAGCATTTATTTTATTTGGTTGTATTTTTTCTCTGCACTGTCCAAAGTTGTAAGCAAGCTTATCAAGTAAATAGTAAAAAAAAGTGAACGTTCGAGAAATAATGCTACCTCTAATATGCCCCGCAACCGTCCTTTAACCTTGGGTAGGTCATAAGAAAGTGATAGTTCGTCAACTTTATCTTGTTTGTCAGTATTTCACACATTTTTATGCATTCACTGTTCTTCTCGCGTCGATGTTATACGAATTGTTATATACGCTGTTGTTGTAATCGTTTCGTTGCGGTCACTAAAAAGTGCGGTATTAGAATGTGGACAAGACTTTTGACTATTGTTAATGACCAATGTGCTTAATTAAAAAATGAACTACGTTAATTACGTGCGGGAAAACAGTTTCTATAAAGGTATATATCAGGTTTACCTACATGGATATTAAATTCTTCGGGATTCGACGGACTTAATAATGTAGCACTATCTTTTTACGTAGAAAGTTGCCTAAGAGAGGAAGTGTACAATGAAACATTTGAGTTTTTCATAAATATGTGTTAAAGCTGATAAAATATTGTAAAGTATTGGGAAGCTACATGAAAATTTAAAAAACAGGTAGGTGCATGCATAAACCGATCGCATTATATTTTCGATTAAATTTTTTATGTATATAGGTACTATAATCCTACACTTCGTTGAACCACATAAAATTTACTAAACACAATAACTAAGGTAAATTAAATAGGAGATAAAAGAAATAAATACAAATTTGTTGCTAAAAATACTAAAAAGTCAATTAAATGTGTCAAACTGACTTCAAAATGTTTTAATGGTAAATAATATATTCGCATTGATTGTCCAGGATAATATAAATTAAAATAGCGTATGCTTTAATAAAAATTTACGGTTATGTAATATACTCAAGTCAATTAATCTACTAAGAAAATAATAAAAAGCGCTTAGCAAATGTTCATGTAGGTAGGTTTAATTCTAGATATCTAATTAGGTATAAATTTTATCACCTTGCTATTTTCGACAGTCACTTCTTTCAGAAATAATGGCTGTGCGTTTTTCTGCATATAGAAGTAATTAAAAATAAGTTTAATTTTGTACATAGGTATTTTTTTCAGCTTGATTGAAAATTCAGGATTTGATAATTTGATTTTTATTCCTCTAGGGTCATCAAAGGCGAATATAAATATACATGTAGGGAGTTTCTCATTTTGTTCAACAAGTTTTCTTTTTGAAATTTGTTCGGCGACAATGTACATTTTCCTATTGCGAGGATTTTTCTTGCAAAGTAAAAAGATAAAGATGAATATGAAATAAACGAAATCTATTCCTTCTATATTCTTCTGAACTTCACCTTCTACTATTATTTTTCTTAACCAGAAAATTAATTTTATTACATGTAATTTTTACTTTTTTTTCAGCCTTCTCAAGTAATAGAGAAATGGTGTTTTCACCCTGACGAGGCCTCTCCATGATAGAAACTGAAGTTTGGTAAGTACATCGATATACCTTTGCATGTACTCTTTTTAACTATTGCATCAAAAGATAATAGTGTATAGTGCACCTGATTCTCTTTGATAACAAGTGCCTCTACACTGCGTAAATAATGGAATAAACTGGTTCCATTTAGTCTCCTGTTTCCGGCGGCCTGCTTTGGTCCATCCCCAAGCATCCATCCCTGTTTACATTTCACAGTAGACTTTGTTCTTTGACCGCTGTACCGTTTACAAAAGCAGTTTATTTGTTGTACAAGTTCAAAGGGCATACAACCACAATTAAACTGTGACCCCATAATTTCTCTCTGAGCGGTGCATCTCCGTATCTCTGAACCCGTTTCATACGAGAGATCTCTACGTATATTATAACAGTAAATGTGTCTCGTTGCAATATCAAAATAGCTTCCTTGTAAATTTTTATATGCATACGAAACACAAATCGTCAGAAATATGATAGTTTGTTTATTATTTTTACGAAAAATGATTGACCAGCGGGTATTATGAATTGCAATTTCGATCTTATTAGTTCCCATCAACATTTTTTATTGCTTTTTTTTTATAATTTGAACAAGATAATACATACAATACAGGCTGCAGGGTAAGCTTTTAGTTAGTTAGTTTGTGCTAAATCGCAACGAGTAAAAAAAAAAGATTTTCATTTTTTACAATAACACAAACCAATAGGGTTGCAGTTAATAAATTAAGTTACGTTAACATTTTCAATAACAAATACTTGTAACTATCTACCAATAACAATTTCGAAAGAGAAAACGTTCTTATTTGTTATTGTTCATTTTTAATTAATTATATTCTATATTTCCTTCAATTTAGCAAATGGACGATAATAGTAAATGCAACTAGGACATATAAAATACATATTACTAGTAATAGTCAGTAACAATAAATGGTTTGACTATATTAGCCTTACTGTCAATTCTAAGTACTTGCTACAGACAATTAAACGAAAAATTTCTTTCTATCATAAAATGTTTTAGTTTTAGGAAGCAACTATTTAATCAAAAATTAATTTTACCACAAAATGCAAAAATAAAGTATAGACTATTTTTCCTGTTATCAAACGTAGGGATCGAATTTCTAAAACTTAAATTTAAGTACTTACATTTCTCTCCGCGAAGACTTCTTCATTCAAAGGAACATTACTACTTACTAAACTGTTTAACGAACATACAACATATTGTCCCTTTAGAAGGGCTAGACATGCCCCAAGTGTAGGTAAGCACCAACAAAAAAACGTAGTAAACTCTAACCGGTTCTTCCGGTCAGAACTGGGTGGTCACCTGGTGTCAGAGTTCACGAGGTTACAGGATTACAAAGGAGTGAGCATGCCACAAAACCCTAATAGAAGTAAACTGTCAACACATCACCGATATTAATCATAACGTGCACAGATTTACTAAATTTTAAAGGATTTACGTGTTTTTAGAGTTATAATTGATAAATAAGACAATAAAAATTTAGGATTATTTTTTTGGGTAGGATTGTGTGCGGCAATTGTTTTATAAAGGACGAACGGGGCAGGTATCGAAATAAGAACCCTAAGGGATCAGCTACCTGGAAAGGGACGAAACGAATTGATTAAACCCAAATCAGGACCAGGATGTAACGGTCAGCGTACATTTTATTAAAGTCCAGCTGAATCGTTAGCGATACAATACAAACTGAAATTACCACTCAACTACATACGAGGGTGGATTGATAAGTTTCCGGCCTGACCAAGAAAAACAAGGTTTTTAAAAATTTTTTTTTTTTATTTCTCAACATAATCTCCTCCAAGGCTGATACATTTCTCATAGCGGTGTTCCAGTCTATTAATGCCATCTCTATAGACTGATTCGTCAAGCTCCTCAAAATAACCATTTACAGCTTCGATTACTTCTTCATTGTCCGCAAATCTCTTACCGCCAAGCCATTTTTTGAGATTAGGGAACAGAAAATAGTCACTCGGGGCTAGGTCTGGAGAGTAAAGAGGGTGCGGCATCAATTCAAACTTTAGATCGTTGATTTTAGCCGTCGCAACGATTGACGTGTGCGCTGGTGCGTTATCGTGATGAAACAAGATTTTTTTCTTCGCCAGATGAGGTCGTTTAATTTTCACCTCGTGGCTCAAACGTTGCAATAAGTCTGCGTAGTATTGACCAGTGATAGTATTACCCTTTGCAAGGTAATCAATGTATATAATACCTCTTGCATCCCAAAAAACAGTAGCCATAACCTTGTTCGCCGAAAAAATTGTTTTTGCCTTCTTTGGAGTTGGTTCCCCTGGTCCAATCCACTGTTTAGACTGTTCTTTGGTTTCAGGAGTGTAGTGGTGGACCCACGTTTCGTCAACGGTTACGAATCGACGCAAAAATTCGCTTGGATTACGCTTATACAATGACAAATTTGCGGTAGAAATGTTTTTTCGAATCAATTTTTGGTCGACTGTTAGCAAACGCGGCACCCATCTTGCACAGAGCTTTTCCATATGCAAATGTTGGTGCAAAATATGTTGCACACGTACATATGACATCTTACAGGTCTCAGCTATCTCACGCACTTTCAATCTGCGGTCTCCCAGCACTATTTGATGAATTTTTTCGATCATATCTGGAGTTGTGACCTCAACGGGGCGTCCTGAGCGAGGCCCATCAGAGGTGCTCACACGACCCTTTTTAAACTCGGAAACCCACTGCTTAACGGTTGAATATGACGGGGAGGATGTCCCCAGTGTTGAGTCCATCTCTTTTTTAATTTCCTTCGGCGTTAACCCCTTCAAATAAAAGTATTTGATGACAGCACGATTTTCCTGCTTTTCCATTTTTACGAAAACCACAGAGGCGTCTTGTTCAGCGTGCTGTCAAACCTACACTAGCAAGGAGATCGGGCTGAAACTATAGCTACAAGCTATCCAAGGATGGTACTATAGAATGTCACCTCAAGGTAGGCCTAGTGGCGTCATCTCTTGGTTAGGCCGGAAACTTATCAATCCACCCTCGTATGTACATATTACTTACATTAATATTGCGCAAATACAAGTACACTATTGAAAAGCTTTCAGTAGGTAAAATTATACATGTTTAGTTTGGTTTGAACTTGAATAAAGTCGTATGACTTAATGTCTACCGTAGTAATGTTAAGTTGATTAATCCAAATACACTTTTATTACATTCAAAATAACTAAAAAAAGTATGACTTCAAAAATACCCCATGAAAACATTACTTATATTTCAAACTGTTGTAGTTTCTTCACTGAAACATTTTAATTTTTGCATCTAAGTGTTAATACTTGAGCTGCTTTATTAACCCAATAACAATTTCGAAAGAGAAAACGTTCTTATTTGTTATTGTTCATTTTTAATTAATTATATTCTATATTTCCTTCAATTTAGCAAATGGACGATAATAGTAAATGCAACTAGGACATATAAAATACATATTACTAGTAATAGTCAGTAACAATAAATGGTTTGACTATATTAGCCTTACTGTCAATTCTAAGTACTTGCTACAGACAATTAAACGAAAAATTTCTTTCTATCATAAAATGTTTTAGTTTTAGGAAGCAACTATTTAATCAAAAATTAATTTTACCACAAAATGCAAAAATAAAGTATAGACTATTTTTCCTGTTATCAAACGTAGGGATCGAATTTCTAAAACTTAAATTTAAGTACTTACATTTCTCTCCGCGAAGACTTCTTCATTCAAAGGAACATTACTACTTACTAAACTGTTTAACGAACATACAACATATTGTCCCTTTAGAAGGGCTAGACATGCCCCAAGTGTAGGTAAGCACCAACAAAAAAACGTAGTAAACTCTAACCGGTTCTTCCGGTCAGAACTGGGTGGTCACCTGGTGTCAGAGTTCACCGGGTCACAGGATTACAAAGGAGTGAGCATGCCACAAAACCCTAATAGAAGTAAACTGTCAACACATCACCGATATTAATCATAACGTGCACAGATTTACTAAATTTTAAAGGATTTACGTGTTTTTAGAGTTATAATTGATAAATAAGACNCCGGAAATTTTAACACCTCTATTTTCCCTGAACTTAATTTCCACTGTTAAACTGATTTGATAACACTATAATTTTTAATAATATTTGAAATATTGCTGAAATTTATAAAAAATCTATAAAAAGTTAAAAAGGATAATAACGAACTACGGGTCAATTTTTTTTCAATTATTAGCCAAGGATTCAGTCGCATTTGTTTCATACCTCCAAATATGAAGGTTTTTCATTTAAAGAATATGAAGTCGTATGTCCGAAAGGAACAGGGAGAAATGAAATATGTTGTTGTAAGCGAGAAGTGTGTGGGATAACGTTACGCTATTGGTCATAGTCCTATGGATTATTCGGTCTTTTGTTTCACCCGTTCGCGTCCGACGAAGGGAAGTAAAGGGAGGGTGGGGTCCAGCAATGGCCGCTGCTGCTTATAATGACACCACATTAAGGGACAACTTCGGCCAAGTTGCCAAGAAAAGGCACAGTTTCCTCGGATCTGGCGACGACAACGCGTCGCCGACCGACCGACGTCCTTTGCCTACCACAGTGGAAGAGGTTGCCGGAGGCGATGGCAAAGGGACGGACGAAGGGTTAGAGGTTTTGCGAAGAACAGACCAAATTAAACACTACGAACCGTAGAAACTCGCGAAAGGGATGTTTAACGCTGTAAAATTATTTCATTCACGCTCTTCAACTGCTTCTATAAATGAATAAAAATTTATACATGAGTATTTAGTAGTTTTCAGTAAAATTGGTAACAAAAAAGTATTCATTTATATGTAAGTTTTAGTTAATTATACGGGGTGGCTCCAGAAAATTATGCCTGGCTAAAAATCTCATGGGTTATACCTAATGCACCTTTTCCAATTATGTTTGGTGATTATTTTAGTTTTATTTTACCCAACTCAATATGACAACAGCACTTTTGATATTTATTTGATTTTTATCTCTAGATTTTCACTGATTAGAAAAATTAAAATTAAAATTATTATTAGATTTCATTTCTTCTCGGCGCTGATTCTATAGGTACATCTTACGCCTACAGTTAGTAGGTAGCGTTATTGCGTTATTAACAAATTCACTACTATACAGACCAAATCAAGTATATATGTTCATGGAAATGTGTGTAATTCGTCATTGTATACAATTCCTAGGAAATGTGTGAAATAAATTATATTAGACACATTTCCTAAGAAATGTATTCCATTCAAGATGTCAATGAGTCCGTTGTTTCATTTATTGTATTCACAGATAACTCTGATACTCAGTTTACTAACGTGTTTTATTCACAGAAAGAATTAGTTTTATAAATTTCCTAGTACAATGTCGGAATTTCGTACAATTCCTAGGAAGTTCTACATTTTCCAGGATATGTGTGTATTAGAAAATCTATGAAACAATATTTCATAAATTTCCTAAATAGCCTTGGAATTGTGTACTTTCCTAGGAATTGTATACAATTCCTAGATTTCATACAATTCTGGTAACATATATATCATGCCAGAATTTTATTGTCATGTCTGGGTATGATACGAATAATGTCTGAGGCCCTGACTCTTCCTTGGGACACTCTACGTTATATTTAAACTACATGCATTTTCTATTTACTGCTCTATAAGATATTGCGTAAACTATGTTATAAACTAAATTATTGAATTAATGAAACTATAATTCAAAAACACTTGAAAAACCTTTACACTAATTTATTTGGAGAATCTCTTCAAACAGTGTTGTTGAGATCCTCAACAACAAAGGAATGTAAAGTTATCCCAGAGTTTTTTATTTATACATTTAATTTAAGCGTATTCTGTCATAAGCAATGTATCAGTTTAGGTACTTTTATTATTCAATTGTTACGAAAATTGAGGGAAGGGGAGGCGCGACAATTGTTTTATAAAAAAGGACCGGAGATATGCAGAAAAGTTGTTAACCACTGCCTTATGATTATGTTGATGATGATGGTGGAAATTATATATTGTCTATTTATGGCGATTTTCACTTTTCAGGATTTAATCTTTTTACAGCTAGAAATAGTAATAAAAAAAATGAGTACATAGTTCTATTAGACTTCTGTAGGTGTAAATTATTCCTCTACATCCTATGTCTGTCAATGCAAAATCTTGTCCGCAAATTTCAATTAGCTTTTCGTCCTCTCGAATTAATTCAAGCTAGTCCTGAGCTTGATGGCAAGACGTTTCATTAATATTTGCGGGTCGTCCTTATGCCTCCATCTTGCCTTACTATGCCCATTAGGAGGTGAAATCTCAAGATGATTAACAGTATATTTTAGGGCTTCCGCTAAATGTTAACATGTATGTAGAAGGAAGTAATAAAGTTTAACAGCAATGTAGACTTCCCTATATTTGTTAGGCTTAAATAATATTTTTCGTTTTGGTGGAAAGTGTTTTAAATCATAAATGCTTAAATATCTTAGGATTGAAGACGGATTTTAGTATCCATTCACTTTTATGATATGTTACTTTAGGTGTATTAATAATTTTTTAATTCATTCTAGGGTTAAAGAAAAATATAAACGTTATTGGTAATATGCTTAGATTTTCTTCCTAATACATGCGAGATCTATTTCAAATTTTGTCTATACCTATCTATAGATATTATTATACATATACAAGGTGTTATTATACATATACATAATGATAAAAAACCATTCTCATAAGTGGCTAAAACATTTTTATGTTTGGTGCTCACGGATCGCCCTAAATTACCGTTTATCTTAATAATGCTTTGGTTCTTGGCGTGTTCAATAGTAAAATAATAAATTCTGGTAAAACTAATATTTATTTGAAACTGTTAGAGACTAAGAAGAGTAGAACGAAGGTTGATTTAGAACTGAAGAATATAGAATTTGAATAATTTAGGAAAGTTATGAAGGTGGAGCTAAGGGTTGTAGATAAAAGAAGGGAACCAATAGTAAGAAAATATGATTTGAAAAATGCTGAAGATAGAAAATATAGAATTAAGTTGTTGAACCCAAATCACCTAAGAAACCCCTCATAAAATAGCAATCAGGACAGACAGCGAAGTACAGACGTCATGCGGTTAGTACGCGAAGTTGAAATGTTAAAATCCCTATTAATAGGAAAGTACAGTAATAAAAGTTATTGGCACAGTTGGATAGAATACAAAAGCTTTAGAAGATAATGTTGAGATTATATATACAGGGTGGTTTAATTTATGTTGGTCGCTACAAAGCCTTACAACTGAAGGCAAAACGTCTGTGTGTTGATACTTCAACTAATGATAAAACCGCTTCATCCCTTATCAGCTTTCATTTTTACCATTTTCTTTGTTTATTTATATCTAATCGTACTTTCCCTAGAAGAAATCTATACTACCCCCGAGTAATTTAAGATATACCATATGTATATTTTATTTTGGTAACAATAAATAAGTTTTTAGTTGGAAATCCTAATATTTGTAAAGCGATGCATGATTGGCTTAATGACGAGCGTTAACCAATTGTTACTACTAAGTAACATATACGTTTGTCAAAATCGCTAAGGTTAGAGTTCGCATTTAATGATATTTCGTTAGAATCGGTCGGTCATATTGGTATCGTATAAAATTGAGGAAATTTAAGTGAATCATTCGCGCCTACGAGCGTTTCTAAGATTAATTTCAGTTTCCTTTGCGCGCCAAAGGCGATCAATTTTAGGGTATACTAGTAAAGTGGGCGAAAGGGACCGACGGTAACGTGGCACCCTTTTGACAGCCGAAACTTCGTCGACTCCTTCATCAAATGGCGTTACTTACATGTGGTCAGTGCAATCAGGACGGCCCTCGTTAATGACTTGCCAAAGTTGCCCCTTTAAGCGAAGGAAAACTATAGGGTTGAGGGTGAGCTCTTCTTTCGGCCTTTGTTTTTATTCTCGTTGAAATCACCCTCTGTTATTTTAAATTCAGATACAGAATATGTAAGATACGGTTTTCTTTAGGGAGACTTATTATTCAAATAAATAATGGATTTGGAATGAAAGGTTTTATTGGAAATTAGTTTATTATAAATATATTCTGCATTGTTAACTACAGGATGAGCTGTGTTTAAAAATTACTTTTAATATCTAATAAACGGTACGCTAGTGAGTTACAGTATGCAGCTCTCATCAGCGAAGACACTCACTCATACATATTTCTTCAAACCGGCAATTCTCGTAGTGTATACTTTGAGATTTCTTTCTTTCTCGTACTACGGTTGCTTTGTTCAGTATTCACCGTTAAGGTATGGAATATATGATTAATATTAATCAGACTTAATGTGGTAGTACCGGTGATGCCGAATTTCCTCCCGCAGATAGTTTTGGTTAAAATATAGATGTCGAATACCCTCCCGGGTACTAACCGAGTTCCCTCCCGTTCATATCAACTCCGATAATTAAGTTAACGACTACTTACCGATTTTATTTATCGAAAATAAATATATATTTATAGTGCACTTCAGTACTTCAGTAAATTAAAGATAAAATAATTTCAGAAAGAAAACACATATCAGTTATGAATATAATTTTAAAATGGTTTCCCACTACCTTAACAAATTCAATGTTTGAAAATTCGTGTGCGTATAGCTTTTTGGTGCAGTCATCTAGAAAAACTTTATTAGTTTTAGCCGTTGGGAGGCAATTGATGCATAATTAGGAGGGAATTCGACATACCCTAATTAAAAACAGGTATATGGGAGGCAACTAGGCATTATCCAAGTGGATTAGTGCTCGTAAATAATCAGAGATATGAGATATTCAAGCTTTCGAGAAATGCGATGATTGTGCATGTCTAAATAGTCTTCCTGCTGACGCCCCCAAGATGACGATGATGATTAATTAAACTCCATTTCTAGGTTTCTGATTTTCTCAGAATATCTTGTGTAACTCTTCAATAATTGTTGGGGGGCCATCATCATCATAATCCTTTTAATTTCCTTCTTAAATGTTCTCCTTAAATCATCAAGTTATTCAGCAGGGGCGCATGGGAAACCTGTTAATTTAAAAATATAATGATTATGCGATAGAAATTATAAATTTTTTCTAAAAAAGTTGTAAATATTTTGAAGAATTTATGCAACATACCTAAATTATCATTTAGGATAACTTACCATCAATTTGACTCCAACTGTGCTGACACTGAATTAATATACAAGAGTAACTTAAGGCCGTATTAATCACCTAAAAGGGCAACGATAAATTTGTGAATTAGCATTAGATAATTTAATATCCCGAAAATATAATTACAGAAAAAGCAAGTTCCCAGTTGATGGGTTGAAGGTTGCGAATTACAAATTCCGATTTTGTGTGAAATAAATTGATTGACGCCAGCTTTAAAAACTCCGACGATTTCACTGACAGATTCATCTCCNACGATTTTCCTGCTTTTCCATTTTTACGAAAACCACAGAGGCGTCTTGTTCAGCGTGCTGTCAAACCTACACTAGCAAGGAGATCGGGCTGAAACTATAGCTACAAGCTATCCAAGGATGGTACTATAGAATGTCACCTCAAGGTAGGCCTAGTGGCGTCATCTCTTGGTTAGGCCGGAAACTTATCAATCCACCCTCGTATATGAATAATATTAAGATTAATATGTGATGTGAGGCTGTATTATTTAAACAACTCTTTATGACTTTATAGTGGCAATTAGCACTCAAGGTCCGCCGCCGTTGGGAAGTAATTGATGTATAATTAGGAGGGAATTCGACATATCGAAAATTTTAACCCTAATTAAAAACAGGTACCTATATGGGAGGGAACTAGGGATTATCCGGTAGTACTAAACTTTAAATACAGGCGAAACAAAAATCGTTAAAAACAGATACATACATACAGATGCAAGTCTTATGACGAACAGGCAGAAGACATCGTAAGTTAGATTGTATGATTTCGTTGCCTAAGGGTGCGGAACCTATATTTATTGAAAAACATTTATAATTATGTGAAAAACTTAAATTCTCATTAAGAGCTACTTTTTATAACATTTATTAAGGGATGTTAAGTTGACATTTTTGATAAATGGTGAATGCGCCAGACATTATATGAAAATATAGAGATATTCGTACATATATAATGCAACTACAAGATTCATATCGATTGAAAAAGGCGATTGTGGTAAATATAAATAAATAAGGGAAAATTAATTCCAATTACAACAGCACAACTTGAAATAGCGAACGCGTGTTTCACCCAATTAACTGAGCATTTTAAAGGAGAGAATTTAAAATTACATTATAGTGCCTGGGGATGAGTTTTTATTATTTACTTATTCACTTACGACCCTTTGTTCTATTATTTCTTTTAAAAACTCGTCAAAACCATACCCAAAGACATAAAATGAACTAACGTTCCGTCACTAAAGCGAATGAATAATGAAAATTTTCTAATTCATATCAAGTAACGCTTATGGGGCGAGTTTCTTCGTCAACTCCGTTTTATACCTTTTCTACCTACAATTTATCATTCGAAAATATCGTAACGGTGTAGTGTTACTTTTCGTATTAACAAGGTCACGCTGTCTCGCGATTATTCAGTAAGGGTTTGGTCCGTGAAAATTACCCTGGAGAATTACAAGGGTAGCAAATTGTTCGTTCACGTTACAGAGAGAAAATAACTTGGTAAGGAATGCTGACACGCAACCTTTGTTTTCGCAGTTACCAACCCACAGCCTGTTATTTTAAATCAAAGGAAAATATTTTTCGTATATGTACAACAAGAAACGGTTCGTTTTATAGATCACTTTATACTTTAAGATATTATGTAGGTAACCATAAAAGTAAACAGTTAGTGCACTTGATAGTGGTATAATCAATTATGCCTAAAATCTACCGTTTACTACAGTCGAATTCGGTTATAATTATTGATATTATATTAATCTCTTGCAATCTATAATCGAAATCAATAGCTACAATTTTGTATAGCTTTTAAAGTTTGTAGTTGCTTGTATATTAAGAGTGTAGGTATTACGAAAACAAGCTTTTTGATAACAAAATTCAGACTCGAAGGTTAACAGTTAATATTGTTCGAAAGAAAATCTAATTCCTATAAGAGATGTTGATGATGCTGGTCTAATTTAAAATTTTCGTCAATTTGTATTTCGTATCAGATCCACTGAAAGACAACAACTTCTTAAAGCAAACGTGTAATTATGTGAGGGTAGTTCCCAGCTCTTTTCTTCTCTTGAGAATTATCAAATATCAAGTAGAAACTATATTACAATAATAAAACGGAAATTATTTTTCTATTTCATTTAAATAAATCATCGTTACAAATGGATTTAATTTTTTGTATCCGCTGGTGTCTTCACTTTTAGTTGCGCTGCGCTGTCAGAAAATGCTTGTTAATACATCTATATTTAACAATCTTCTACGTAGTTTTTCGTTATTTCCACATCTATTTCTTGGAATCTCTTTCTCGTTTCCTGTCCGCTCTTTTGCAGGAGTCTTTCGCAAGTTTAAATGGGAATCATTAATCAAGTAGGTTTATTCTCCTCCTGCCCAAGCTCTGGCATACTCTTGTGTCCTACCCGACACACTCACATACAAACACATTAGATACACGTACATACTCAGAGGGGGTAGCAAAGTTCGTTCAATGTGTCCGTTAGGAGATGCCAGCCAGCGACCAGCGGCGGCATCATGGCCGCCTCATCCACCTCCGCCACCGTCATCTCCAACCCTTTCGTCCCTTGGCAGAAATGCTGCGACGCCGGACCACTGTTTCCCATCCTACCCCTCGCCTCCTTTGCACCCTCTTCTTCAGTGGCGGACACACCACCGCCAGCGCCGTCGGTCGCCTCCTTAATTTATTATTCGCAAGTTTGCCGGTGCGGAATTCTATTATGTACGCGCTGTAATAATCGCTGCTGATGTCGTCGTGTACTAGCCAGAAGTTGGCGGAGGGCGAACCGATCGTGTAATGCAATGTCCGTTCTTCGTCCTTTGGTGTGGCGAGCAAAGGACCCTTCTAAAAGTCCATCCTCTCTAAGTTCGTAAGCGCTCTCGTGCGATGTAATTTTGATAAACAATCTGGCTCTTGATTCAGATCAAACGCTATTGTATTGTTCAGTTTGCTCTAATTTCTATTAAACTCGAAGAATTATACAGTTTACATACTGTTTTTGCACATAATAATTGTAGTCCTTTTAGTAGACCCAGTTACCCCAACATTTGTTGAATATATAATTCAACAATGGCTTCCAAGAAGATTTGATAGTTTCTGGAATTAAAATCATCATTTATTCTAATGACTGAAGAATGTGTAACTGCGTTTTTCAATAACAAACACATGCGCGAAAATGTAATTGTTATTATAGTTGAGATTTTATAATACTAGGAATCAAACTAATTCTCATATTTATCAGAAGATTTAACAAGCTGAAGTGCAAAACTGTTAGAAATAATTTTAACGTTGAATTTTGTTATGCGCAGATCCATTATGTGTCTTAATTCTGTTAACCCATGCTTATTTTGTTACGTTAATACAATTCACAGATAATCAGTATTGAAAAATGAATTTTGCTTGTTTATTGTATCATAATATTAGGAATATCAATGTAGGTATGTAGGCACATGCCATATATGGGAAAAATTAGAAATTCGATCGTAAATCGCACATGTATTTGAACGTACTTATTTATTTTGGCTAACGCCCATCTGGAAAATCCATTTGGTAACTTCCTCTAAAATTTATCAGTTATTTGATTTAGTAAATAACCGACATTTAACGTAAAATTTGGCAGTAATTTCATAGGCATGCCAACATTTTACCTCCCGGATATTGAAGTGCGGGAATTTTCATTTCCTAATACTGTGCATTTCTTATTTTATAAAATAATTAGTATCATATTATGATTAGTTCCTCAGCTGGAACGTTACCAGCTGCTTTCTCATATGACAGTTATTAACTAATAGTTCGGCGTTGGTGATGATTTCTTGCTAATATAATAAGAAAATTGAAATTAAACTATTTTAAATTATCATTTTGGCGCATTAAGCTTTATCAAGAGCAGAGTGCAATATTACTGAAAATTGATATTTTGCTCATTTCTATTCGTCGTTAAGGGGCTATTGAAGTAATATGTAACGTAGTTTTTGATCGTCCTCACCCTCTATAACGCTCTACAATTTTCTGTTTTTCACGCCGTTCCTCTCCTAAAGTTGAGTAACACCGTAGTGACCATTTTTACCATATTCATAATATGTTGCGCGAAATACCTGAAAAGCTTAAAGTATATGTTATCTTATTTTATTTAACAGTAATGTAATATTACGTAACAAGTTGCTTAACGCCTCCCCCCTCTTCCCGCATTTGACTCCGTAATGTTTTATAAGACCCGTTTCCCCTAACTGCGTTACGTAATACTTGAACGGTTCCTAAAAGTTTCCTGGTTCTTATACTGATGATTATATAGTTTCAATGTTTACTATTTAGGCTTGTTAGGTTTAAATGCTCTTTCTCTTTATTTCCTGTCGAAGTTAGCTTAATTAAAGCAAAAATGGTACAGTTCTTATATCATGAAATCATCATAAGGTTGTCAGTCCTAAGACTATTTGGACACGCACCTACACTCTTTTCTATCCTGAGCTAATTTCACAAGACAACTATTTGTTAACAACAGTAATCTTATTTAGGTCTACCTTTTTTCCTCTTAAGTCCTGTTTCTGCTTCCAACATGTCTCTGACTAGTCCTTCATGCCTGAAACTTATCTCGCCTATTTCTTATTGACTTCCATAGAATCCTTTGTTCTTTTCTTTCTAATTCCTCTTCATTTCTAACCTTCTCTATCCACTTTATCCTCATCATTCTCCTGTAACACCACATTTCGAACGCTTCTAACCTTTTCTTTTCCACCGCGCCCAAACATACTCCCTAACAAAGTTTCTTCTTTCTAAATTGACCGTTCGAGAGCATAGAAGTGACTTCTTTTTAATGAAGGCGATACGGCCCTACGCTGTCCTCTGTTTTATATCTCTATAGCTCCTTCCATACTGACCCCTAGAAACCGAAAATCAGCCACTTCTTCTTATGTTGTATACAGTATAGAAGCGATTTTTGTTTGATTAATTTATTTTTCAAGTTCATCAAGTTTCATATTTAAACTTCTATATCTGTTTCCTTGGCATTAAAATTACTACTAGTGTGCAGCTTATAAATCAAGATCATTAGTTAGCATTAATTAAGCTGTTCGATTACCTATATCATGAAAATGAAAATAAATGTGACGAAAAATGGATCTTTCATGTACGACGGACTTCCTTGATTATTACCGATCCGGTTTCAATCCT